GTTCGCAGCAGTTCCATGGAGTGGCTGGAGCCATTAGTGCTGGTGTGTGTGTGTGTGTGTGTGTCACTGAAAACATGTCATAAACAAAGTGGTTGGTTAAAAATAATCATGATTACCCTCTCATTATTTAGGTAATAATGCCTTACACCGTGTCGTAACCGGGCGAGGTGTGACAAAGCGACCAGCGATGAAAGCAACCACTTGCATGTTAATCTGAGTTTCTGAGCTAACTAGCCAGAACAAGTGAAACAACAGTTTTATCAGTCACTTGGTTTCTACTTCTGTGGCGTCGTGCAGAGAAGTCCGAATCACAGCTGCTCATCGTTTATATAGTGGGCTCCACTGAAATTAAAGTATTATTGTTAATATATAATTATTGAGTTTATTATTACATGTAAGATCAGCCTCTCTGTCAAGTCGAAGTTTGTCACGGACCTTCAGAACTGCCTTAATTCTACGTGGCATTGATTTTAGAAATGCATTCTTTAGAAATGTTGGCCTATATTGATAGGATAACATCTTCCAGTTGATGGAGATTTGTGGGATGTACATCCAGGGAACTCATGGGCAGCTCCTGTTCCACCACATCCCAAAGATGTTCTATATCTGGTGACTGTGGGGGCCATTTTAGTACAGTGAACTCATTGTCATGTTTAAGAAACCAATTTGAAGTGATTCGAGCTTTGTGACATGGTGCATTATCCTGCTGGAAGTAGACATCAGAGGATGGGTACATGGTGGCCATAAAGGGATGGATATGGTCAGAAATAATGCTTAGGTAGGCAGTGGCATTTAAACAATGCCCAATTGGCTCTAAGGGGCCTAAATTGTGACAAGAAAACATCCCCCACACCATTACACCACCACCACCAGCCTGCACAGTGGTAACAAGGCATGATGGATCCATGTTTTCATTCTGTTTACGCCAAATTCTGACTCTACCATCTGAACGTCTCAACAGAAATCGAGACTCATCAGACCAGGCAACATTTTTTCAGTCTTCAACTGTCCAATTTTGGTGAGCTCTTGCAAATTGTAGCCTCTTTTTCCTATTTGTAGTGGAGATGAGTGGTACCTGTTGGGGTCTTCTGTTGTTGTACCCCATTTCCCTCAAGGTTGTGCGTGTAATGGCTTCACAAATGCTTTGCTGCATACCTCGGTTGTAACGAGTGGTTATTTCAGTCAAAGTTCCTCTTCTATCAGCTTGAATCAGTCGGCTCATTCTCCTCTGACCTCTAGCATCAACAAGGCATTTTCGCCCACAGGACTGCAGCATACTGGATGTTTTTCCCTTTTCACACCATTCTTTGTAAACCCTAGAAATGGTTGTGCGTGAAAATCCCAGTAACCAAGATTGTAAAATACTCAGACTGGCCCTTCTGGCACCACCAACCATGCCACGCTCAAAATTGCTGAAATCACCTTTCTTTCCCATTCTGACATTCAGTTTAGAGTTCAGGAGATTGTCTTGACCAGGACCACACCCCTAAATACATTTAAACAACTGCCATGTGATTGGTTGATTAGATAATTATATTAATGAGAAATTGAACAGGTGTTCCAAATAATCCTTTAGGGTGAGTGTATATCAAGTTATTTTCAGAATTTTTATTAAAAACGTGTACTTTATTTTACTTTTGGATCCCACTGTATATTAAACACCAAATATGGAGAAAGTGGTGTCAACTGTAGAAGTTGAGAAACATTGAGCATTATATGATAATTATGTGACAAAATGAAGTCACACACTTGAAGTGTGAGCATAAAAATAGCTGATTGCTGCAGTCAAATACAGCACAAGTAAACTCAAGGAATATATATATATTTTGGCACCTATAGCACTGTTAAGCATCATAATACCACTACCTATATACCTCTCATTACTCATGGCCACATGGGATAGCAAAGTGTCAGTTGGTTGCACAATTGAAAATCTCAGCAAATTCAATACATCATCTGCCCTCAATATCATGAATACTTTGTATTTTGACGTTCTAGTCATTAATAATAATAATAATAATTCATGACTTTTTTTTTTCTTTTCTCGCCACTCAATCCGCTTTACATTAAAGGGGGAATCTCCTCAACCACCACCAATATACCACCTGGATGATGCGACGGCAGCCATATTGCGCCAGCCACACACCAGCTTAGTGGTGGAGAGGAGACATAGTGATGAAATCAATTTGTATATACTATTAATATATATATATTTATGATTAGGAGGCCATGATGGACAGATGCCACTGGGCAAATTTGGCCAGGATGCTGGGGTTACACCCTTACTCTTTCTAAAGACATCCTGGGATTTTTTTGTGACCACAGAGAGTCCACAGAGGACCTCGGTTTAACGTCTCATCCGAAGGATGGTGCTCTTTGACAGCATGGTGTCCCTATTTCTATACTGGGGCGTTAGGACCCACACAGACCACAGGGTGAGCACCCCCTGCTGGCCTCACTAACACCTCTTTCAGCAGCAACCTGGTTTTCTCAGAAGGTCTCCCATCCAGGTACTAACCAGGCTCAGCCCTGCTTAGTTTCAGTGGGAAACCAGTCTTGGGCTACAGGGTGATATGGCTGCTGGATATTTGCATATTATTTAGTAGAGAATTACGCATATTCAAATGTGGTGACGGCGATGCTTTGGGCATGTTGAGTCACAAGGTTATGGTTCTCTGTTGAGGCTTGACATATTGACTGTGTCAGTTAGATCAGGGGGATATTATGTCAACAAGCCCTCATGAAAAGAAGGTCCCAGGTCATGTGAACATGTCTTCATTATTGCAAAATACAGCCCTGACAGGACCCTACTGTGAAGAAGGAGGCCTATTGTATCATCCTGAAGGGGTTTATTTTGTGATAATGACCTGTATTGTCCCCTACATTATTTCTTTCCTACCACATAAGCAAATAAATGGTCTTCAAATATTGATTTTAGTGAAAATTCTTTTATTATGTGAGAAGAAATAGACTGTGTTGTGATATAAAACTAGCACACTGCAGGGTATTGGTTGCCTGGGGCAACAGACAAATATACAGTTTCATTATACTAAAATATTTGGCCACAGAGAGCTGTGATTGACCAATTACAACCCAGTATGCTATGTAATAATGGCTTTGTTTTCAGTGATTTTTCACTTTCATATGCTGTTTTTTTATTTAATTTTTTTTGCAGATGTACATACAAACAACCACACTGACCATCTCAGTGAGTCTGAGCGCATCCGTGTCTCTGGGGATGCTGTACATGCCGAAAGTCTATGTGGTGCTCTTCCACCCGGAGCAGAATGTGGCCAAGCGCAGCACTCGCAGTCTGAAAGCTGTGGTCACTGCCGCCACCATGTCTAACAAGTTCAACCCCAAGGCCAGTCTGCGGCCCAACGGAGAAGCCAAGTCGGAGCTGTGTGAAAACCTGGAAACTCAGGGTGAGTGGGTTTGAGGATAAACACTTTATTCTTATTGACAATGATTTTTATACTGCCATAAACCTGTTTTTGTAATCTTAAAATGTTTTATTCACCATCATTCTCTTGCTCACTTGAATCCATTTGGATAATGGATCCAAATTTGGAGTCAGTGACAAAATTATGCATCAGCGGTCCAGTTATGAGTCTCAATGCAATAGCTTTAGATTTCTTTTTGATTTAAAGGATTAATTCACCCAAAATTGACATATCTATTATTATTTATTCCTGGATTGGTCTAATTTTTTATTTAATAATGCCATGAAATGCAATGAAGACATTTAATGGCATCAGTGTTATGATCATAACAAGACAACCCCTAATCGTCTGCCTCATTTTGCGAAATGTTTTTATGTTAGAATCTTACCGCTTAGCATCAGAGATAGGTTTTGGAGTGTGCTTTTTAAAGCATCAAGAGGCAAATCAGTTGAATCGGTACAACAGTCTTTGCCTAAAACCCATCCCCTGCTAATTTGAATATCAATAAAACACCAGCTCATAAACAACTTTGTAATACAACAGTAAAAAAAAAGTCTACTGCCTCAGCAGAAATAACTTGCATTCTAAAGCAGAAGCAAACGCATCTTCCGGTGAGTGAAGTGCCATCAAGATTTAAGAGAAGTTCCCAGTTCGCATAATTATACTTTTCATTAAGGGCCTGATTGATTAAGTTCAGGGCTGAACAGATTAGTCGTTGTCGACAATAAAAAAAAAATGGTAACAATTAATAGCTTCGTTGTTGAATTGTCTTTTGATCTTATGACCTATTTTAACTCCCCTCATCCCCCTTGATGGAAATTTCCATAATTTTCTTTAGAAAACGCTTCCCCACCATTTGATGGAAATGTACGGCTTTCTGTGCTTTCACTATTACACAGTAGGGGGCTCTATTATGCATCTTCTGAAAGAGTACTGAATCCTGATTCAAAGCACAGGTGAAGAAGAAACCGAAACCAGCAATATTATATGTAAGCAGATTTATATGTAAAATAATGCAAGCATCAACATCAGACAGCATATATATCACAACTACACAATTTCACTGAATGAAATGTTAACCCAGAACGAGCTATAGGACTGCGAGCTTTGGGGGTGTTGATAAGTCTTTGACACAGTTTTGCTTTTTTTTTTTATTGAAACTCACCCACAAAACATCAACCCAAGTGTTGATAAAAAAAGGAATGCATGAAGCTAGAATAAAAGTTTATGTATATATATTGCACATTCTAATAATCATACCACCAAATAATCTGGGTGCCATGACACTTTTGTAAAAATGATTTAAAAAAATTGCTGGCGTTGGCTTGATGCAGTTCAATTCAATTCAAATTTATTTGTATAGCGCTTTTCACAATACATATTGTTTCAAAGCAGCTTTACGGAAAGTGCATTTCAGAAATGTACATAGAAAAATACAGTTAGTTAATCATGTATTATTTTAGGACATAACATATCGCCAGCGTCGAGTCGTCTCTTCACAGGCGTTTAGTCGTCTCATCGCAGGTGTCGGGGCATCTGAAGTCTCCGTGAGAGGCTGGATACAAACTGGAGCTGACGAACGCTATTTACCTCAGGACTAGCATCCCGAGATAACAGCAGAAAAGCAGATGTAAAATAATTAGCATAGCTGCTGTTATTAATATTAATGCATTTAATCTTATTCAACAGTGGTATAAAAGGTAAGCATTATGTGAATGCTTGGCTAAAGAGATGTGTCTTTAATCTAGGTTTAAACTGGGACAGCGAGTCTGAGCCTCGAACAGTATCAGGAAGGCTATTCCAGAGTTTAGGAGCTAAATGTATGAACGCCCTCCCTCCTTTAGTGGACTTAGATATCCTAGGAATGACCAGAAGCCTTGATTTTAGTGGTCTTAAAGAACGCGATAGATTGTAGGGTGATAGAAGGTCCATTAAATACACAGGCGCTAGACCATTTAGGTCTTTAGGTCAGTAGTAATACTTTGTAATTGATACGGACCTTAATAGGTAACCAGTGTGGAGATGATAAAATTGGTGTTATATGATGTCATATTTTCTTGACCTTGTAAGAACTCTAGCAGTTGCATTTTGCACTAACTGTAGCTTGTTTATTGCGGATGCAGGACAACCAGCTAATAAAGCATTACAGTAATCTAGTCTCGAGGTCATGAATGCATGAACTAACTTTTCTGCATCAGAAACAGACAGCATGTTACGTAGCTTAGCAATGTTTCTAAGGTGGAAAAAGGCTGTTCTTTTAACATATGAAATATGATTTTCGAAAGACACGTTGCGGTCTAGTATAACATCCAGGTCTTTTACTGTAGTGGATAAAGTAACAGGACATCCTTCTAAATTAAAGTTCTACTCTAAGAGGTTTTGTGGGTAGTTTTTTGGACCAATACGTAATACCTGCGTTTTATCTGAATTTAATAGCAGGAAATTACATGTCATCCAGCATTTTATATATCTTTAAGTCAATTTAGATGAGTGTTTTCAACTGGTCGTGATGAAATATATAATTTAGTGCATCAGCATAACAGTGGAAATTAATTCCATGTTTTCATATAATATTACCAAGTGGCAGTATATATATATATTGAAAATAGAAGATGGCCTAACACTGATCCTTGCGGCACTGCATAGTCTACTGACTTTATTTTCGATTTTTTTCCCCATTTAAACAGACAAAATGGTAACGGTCTGATAAGTACAATCTAAACTAGGTTCATGATGACTTTCAAATAATCCTGCTATTAGGAACTAACCCTAACCTCTGACGTCAAATGTATCAGACAGGGAAAAAATATAAATCCATTTCATACTTTCAATAGACGTGGTAAAATATGTACGTAATATAGATGAATATGTTGCTTACAGGAAGAATTTTCCTTAGAAAAAGCGGATGATGTTGAATTGTTGTCAATGAAGCAACTTGTATATTTGCAGCCAGATGGTGTCACATCTACCAGCTGGGGTTCTACAACAGGGTCATGCTAACCAACCAGCAACCTTGACCCCTTCATTTTGGGCCATGTATGCTGGAAAGAAAAAAAAAACATACAGAAATATAAATCCAGTCAGAGATATACACAATGTATTTTTAAAATGCATTATGAATGTACTAAGACATTCTCCAAGATATATCTGTACATCGACTAGTTCTTGAATAAAATATCGTGTTAAGCAGATTCAAAGTATCATGTTTGACTAGGAAGGAACAAATTATCTGCTACCATTACATTGCATTTGGCATTCACAGCAACGCGCATCCACTCTGCTTTCAATATGTTGCATTTTGTATTCATTTTGCAATGTAGCAATACCCAGTAAATCATATTGTGGGTCTTAGTAACAAATAGCTCTGAATTAAGGGTGACATCCAGTTAAATGTTTTGACAACAGAATTAAATTGTGTAATGAATGTTTGCCACATAGATGAAAATTCACCCAATTAAACATGACTAGTTAGCACAGAATGTTTTCAGTAAATATTTAACACGCCGGTTGCATGACCATGCCAGACTACCACCAAGACCAGTGTGAATTTCGTGTGCTCAGTGCTTTGTTTGCTCTCTATAGCGCCGCTTTGAATTCACTGCAGTGGAACAATGTGCTTTTGTAAATGAGGTGTTAGAGTCAGTGACTACATTAGCATGTGCCCTTTTAAAAAATCTTTCCAGAGTCATTTAATACAGGCCGTTTCTTTACATTTACAGCAAAAGCTAGCTAACAAATAATTTCTCCTTGGCTCAGGGATGTCTAACATTTCATGAATGCATTAATGGTGAAATTAGATATCTTTGTTGATTCTAATTGATTTGTGATCCTCCTTTAAGACTTGAATTACATTAAATAAAAGTGTCTAAGTGTCTTAATGTAGTGTAATGTGAAAGAAACATTGATATAAAGTGTTAGTGAATAATATGACATTGAATTATTATGTAGTTGTAGTTTCTAGTCAAGCAAGGATTTATCTTTATGTGTATGTAGGCAGAAATCACCATTATTTTTAGCATTGGTATGTTACAGTAAAACAGATTTCAATTGGAGTAAAATATATCATGATTTTGTGAAGATGACTAAAGAAGATTGTTAGTTGCAATAGAGTGGTGCAGGGATGACGTTAAAACATGAAATATTAATTTGCCTCGGGATTTTCCCATAGAGTTTATAATGGAGTTTTTCAAGTTATGGGTAAAATAACGCCTGTGGTAAACACAACTTATTAACCTTAATTTAACCATCACTTAAGAACAAGTTCTTATTTTCAACAACAGCCTGGCAGGAGAGTTCAAATCTCATGAAAGTCATACAAACATACATTACAACACGCACACATATATACATTCATTTAAGACAAGCTGTAATGAAAACACTCCCTAGTATTTTTTTTAAAATGCATAGATTGAAATATCAAAAGCTAAATGACCCAGAAACAGTATGTACTACGTTGAAGTTTTGTTCTACTATGTACATAGATAAATTATATAGTATTATACATAGGCATGATATAGAATTATTGAGTTGATTTTGTATTAAGTCCGTTTGGCATTGTTTTGGAATGATCTGATGTATTTTGATATGTAAAGGCAGTCTCTGGATTTTAGAGAGGATTTCAATCCTGCGTTTAAGGGAGATGTCTGTTTTAGGTCACTGTCTTGGGACATTTTATTATTCAATACTATAATATATTTTATGCAACACTGATGCTTGTTTGTTTATTAATTTGGCTTGTGCAATAGGCAATATCATAATTATATTGTTATTTGATTATTTATGCTGCCTAAAAAGCATCACATAACCCATAAAGAAACACTGTGTACCTTGCAGAAGTGCTTTCTATTAAGGTGATTATCTATTAACAAAAGGAATATGACACATTTCACACCCATTGCTTTTTCGCGGTTTTTAACTCGCAGGTGAATAGTCTTCACAGAATCACACATATGTGACATAGTTCACTCTGTCTTCTCGGAAGCTCCTAAAGTCACACTTCTGAAGTCACAATTTTTGTCAGCTCACCATCAAGATGAGCAAAAGACATGTTTGATGTAGCTATTCTTATAGTGTCAGTGCATATTTGTGACATATTATTCACAGTCATATAGCCTAGAAATCTAGATGCACCCTAGCGGCAGCAAAAATTATTTCGCAGCCAGTGTGGTTTAGCAACTCTCCATAGACGTTTTAGCTGGAAAAACCAAACTCTGGTCTGGTCAATCACATCGTGTATAGAGTCGGCGGGTGGGCTTAACATAATGACGACTGAGCTGTGACGGTTCATTACTACTTGAAAACAAAGAATGGCTGCTGCTGGCGAACAGCTGTCTTTCGATTTGGCTTTTGACCGCTACTCTGGATGATTTGAACTTAAGCTTTTCTTTGAAACCAGAACAAAGAACGGCACTTCATTTAAACAAAAATAAAAATCGGAGATTTGCTGACTGGATACGCACAACCGGCACATCCGGGAACTTAACTGTCAATTTTGTCCCCGCCCCCTTTTGGGGGAAACAAACTAGACTCCCCATAGACTTCAATACAAAATAACGGCAAAACCAACGTCCTTACACAGCCGACAGGCGTACTGTAGTGTAGATAACTAAAGAAATCACTTATATAAAACATGTCAAGTAATTATATGTCCACGCTGCCTGCCATAGAGCGTGAAATACATTTTTTATGCCCGTTATCAACTAGCCCAGGCTACCTGCCATCTGCCATTATCATCATAAATTCATAATACCGTGGTGTGAATAAGTTTGGACACCCATGCTCAGGGGCGGGTCCACGTGGTGGCCAGGGGGGGCACCGGCCCCCCCTGAAATTCGATTGGCCACCCCAGGTGCCCCCCCTATAAGATGTCTTGTGATTGGTTCATTTTACGGCCAAACAGTTTATAGACTCTACGGAAGTTTGTGATTCAAAGAAGTGCAGCGCCAGAGAAACAACGGTCAACATATTATTACTAATGCTGCGTTGCGTAGTGTGAGCGGAAAGTGAACGTGTTCGCCGCGCTGGTCATGTTAGCGCGAAGGTAGCTGTGCATCCCGGCAACGTCAGTCCCCTCATCAGAGCGGTGTTTTCAGCGGCTGGACTGAAGCATTTGTTTACACTCGACGCGTCCGCAAGCACGCGCAGTCTGCAGAGACTCGCGCTCACGCGCTGAAGTGGCAGGCGAAAGTGTAAACAAGGCTTGAGGGTCACCATACAGGTTGCGGTCGCGTCTGACCCCAGATCATGTCATCAACATGCTTATCTTTCTCAACAAAAATCAGTAGACTGGAGCAGAAGTTGTATGCGAGTTATTTTTTATGAAGATTAAAGTAGCCCATAGAAAGTAGCCTAGCCTAATTGATTGTCAGGTAGGCTAATCTCTCTCACCCTTTCTCGACTCCGTGCCTTATGAGTTTCATGTTGACAAAACCTGTCAGATCTAAATGTTATTATATCTTCAAATTTAGCCTAACCAAACGCCCAGTTTAACTGCCACAAGTTGATCATCTTGTAATAAAGATCTAATCGAGGAAAAACACGCTTTATTTTTGTATTTTCATTGCATTTTTAATTTATAAAAAGTGAAATATAATAAATTTGAATATAAAAATATTAATGATTAATCGATAGTCGATCGTTAATTCTTCCGACGATCGACTAAGAAAATTTAATCGAATGCCCATCCCTAGTTCAGTCAAAGTTTCATAAAACACAATAAAAGTATAATACGCTGGGCGCTATCAAACAAATTAATAAACACTGTCATGGTGATTTTGCATATTTTGTATCAGTTTATTTTGTGACAGTGAGTGACCACATTATAATAATTGTCTGGTGACACGTACGTTACTTGTTAATGCATGAGAGTAAGTCAGTTAGATAGTCAGTTAAATTGTGAGTCCTAACTTAGTAATTTCTACGTGAAATGACAGCCCTAGAAATGACATGGATGCATTCTGTGCATTTCATTCACAATTTGAATTGTTTTTGTTGATATTGAGAATAACAGACAAACATAAGTGTTTCTTTTTTGAAGGCAGGGAAGAGAGCAGTGCCAAGCCATGAACAAAACAAAAAAAAAACACACAAGTGTGAGGCAGAAGCAACTGAAGAAAATGTCAGGCAGCAAGAAAAAATTGTCACTGGAACAGAATCAGCCAGCAAGGAATCAACAGGCCAGACAGAAAGTGATTAATTATTATTATTTGAAAGAGATTGTGAATAAAACTACTGTATATTGTAATGGCAAAACTAATTAAAAGAAAATAGTTGACCTTGTTTCTGCTTCTGGGGTTTTAAAATTGCTCATTATTAAAATTGCTTTTATTTTATAAACTTGTTAGTTTTATAAAAACACTAAAAATAATAAACACTGGCTCTCAAATTTAACTTAATGGACAGGGATGCCAAAACTAAATTAATCAAAAAATGTGCTTTATTACTACATTTGTTTACAAGTAACTTTATTCAAGTTAAAAAAATAATACAAATCAATAGGATTTATGTATTATACTGTAGAATTTAGCTTTTTTTTTTTGGTCACTGGTGGCCACCCCATTTGGAGGCAGTGCCCCAGCATGGCCCCCCCACTAAAAATGCTCTAGACACGCCCCTGCCCATGCTAAAGTTGCCTAAAAAGAGGAATAAAAAATCATCTTTTGGATATTGATATTAATGCCTTAATTAGAAAAATGAGGAAAACTCCAACCTTTAAGGACACAAATTTTCTTTGTGAATGAATAATGTATCATAAATAAATAAATGTTTTTTTCTTAAAATACAGGGTGCATAAGTCAGGACACCCCTATGTTAAATTCCCATAGAGTCAGGCAGGTTTTTATTTTTAAAAGCCAGTTATTTCATGGATCCAGGATAATATGCATCCTGATAAAGTTCCCTTGGCCTTTGGAATTAAAATAGACCCACATCATCACACACCTTCCACCACACCTAGAGATTGGCATGGGGTACTTTCCATAAGATCATCTTTCAATGCAAATCAAACCAGCTATTAGGCTAACTGAAGTAAAACCATGCCGAT